GAATGTTTTTCATTTCATTTAAAAGTGAAGTGACTGGGCCTCAGGGGTTTGGGAAAATTCTCAAGACTTAAAAATATTTTTCATAAAGGTGCATCACTCTAAAAAATGACATGGGCATTAAACCTATACACACACACGAGTAAAAGAAAGGACCATTCAGCCGTGTTTGAGTCTCTCCTTAAACCTGTGAGGAAGTTCTTAGTCTCGTACCGTATTTGATCTGAGCAATATCCCCCACCACAATCTCGGCCACAGGGATCTGGATAACCTGGCCTTTGCGGATGACCGTGAACTTTTGCTCCTGCTCGATGCGACTCTGCAGCCCGCGGAACTGCTTCTCTTTGGACCAATCATTAAAGGCTGTCACCAGGACCACAATGATGACTGAGAACAGGATGGCAGCGCCCTCAATCCAGCCAGCCTGGGACTCGCCCTCGTCCTCGGCGCCACCTGAAACCTGGCCGCATGCTACAAGAGGACAGAGATATGTTGAACTCGCATTGCTTTTCCCAATAAATATGTCAGGTCCAAACTGCCCAACTTATAATGTTTTTATCATGTTGTTGGCCTAACAATGATCACATGTATATATGTAGAGTCTAAATATACTAGTTTTTAACTGTATGATGTATTAACATAGTTTAGAGTTTAACTGTATGATGTATTAACATAGTTAATACATGTCACTGTGATGGATCACTGACCTTCACTGTCACCTCCTGGTGGATGGTAGAAGGACAAGCCCAGAGAGATGATTGCAGCAACTTCCAGGATTATAAGCGTAACGTCCTGCAGAGCCTCCCACACCAGCTGCAGAAATGTCTTGGGTTTCTTAGGGGGAATGAAGTTCTGTCCAAATGCTGCGTGACGTTTCTCCAGGTCGACAGGGTTACCGGACAGACCTGCGGACACGAACAAGACATTAGCATCCACATCAGTACAGAAAACTGGAGTGTATCATTGCTTATTTTGAAAACAGTCACACTTAATGCTCCTTGGAGTTGAGAGAGAAAAATCCAAGCCCCTCTGAATAACAGTGCAGCTGACAACGCCCCGATTTGACTAGACGCCCTCATCAGGGTGTGGATGTAAAATTCAAATATAAGACATGAGACAAATGAGTTTCAGATGTGTGGATGAGAAAAGTCCTACTAAAGCAATCACATACAGTAGTATGTATACCCTCACTGGTCACTTTATTAGGTACACCTGTACATTCTCATACTGAACAACAATGTCAGGAAAAAAGATACTTCTAATGATTATACATTAAGGTTTATATGTTTATTGTTAAGGTCTTCTGTTGTTCATAGTTAAAGAGCTGGTATTATGGCCTTTTTAGACCCATTTTTTAAAATACTTCAAACATATTTGTGATATTCACCCAAAGTTGTTTGGACTTCTCTAAATCCATCTTTACAAACAGCCCAGATTCCCCCTCTGTCCTTTAACAGCCTGTTTCAGAAGTTATTAACATTAAGTCTGCATTATTCATAAGCACATACTCTGACTGTCTGGAAGTTTCACAATAGTAGAATCATGTTCAAGTTTCTTTTGTTCAAACACAGCTAGAGACAGCTAGCTTAGCTTTAGCTATTTTCATTTAGCTGAGTAAAGCTACCAGCACAGCGCTGCACAGGGGGTGGGATTATCCCCACATATCCAATTTTACAACTGGGTGTGGTGTCGCAATAGACACATATTCAACACCGTTCTCTCTCAAGGTGGGAGATTCAAAATTTTAAATAACTTAAAAACCCACAGAGACAGAGTTTAGTCATTTGACAGCAGAGATGATGTCAGCCACCACCCTGATCCATCACAAAGCCCTTTTATTATTTGTTTGTGTTCCATCACACCCGCTCTTTAAATGAGTGGTACTAGAATAATTTATATTGAAAGGTATTTCTCATATTTTGCCTCCCTGGGATGGACAAAATATGAGAAACACCTTTCATTATATTGTGGATTTTGGATATGAACCAAATAACATGTATACATCATATAAAAGCTGTTCACAAATAACTTATACTAAGAATATTAAATTCAACATTGATTTCATATGACAGCTCCAGCCTCATGATGGATAAATCTGAGTATTGTATGGTGTCGCATTAAGGCATGCAATACAAAAGGGCTATATAGCGCCCTGAAAAAGTCACAATGGAACAAAAAAATGTAGCGTCCCACAATGCAATGTTCTTCTGTATACAAAAATGTCCGTGAAGCAATGCCACAGCTGACAGCGATGAAGCAAAATGAGGATTACTGTCTAAAAATGTTACTGTAATTTGCTGCTCACTACTGAATAGCAGTACTAACTACTGATTGTCCATTATATAGGGAACGAGAGAGTGGTTCCTGACAATGTGTTGTTAATTTATCATTCTACAGTAAATAACTGAAGTACTGTTAGGATAACCTTTGTCTACTTGTTATAGCAGTTTACCTTTACTAGATGAATTACTGTGCAGTACTTCCTTAGGGGGACGTCATGTTGATCTTTTACCAGCGACATGATTCAAATTACACTGGGACCCATAATTAATACTGTGTGTAGGACCTGATGGTCAATAAGTGAGCTACTTAAAAGAGTTTGACAAAAAATACAACATAAAATCTAAACAATTTCCAGAAAATAGCTGCTAAACTAATTAAAACTTGACAAACAGAATCACTACTAAGAAATTACTTGTTTGGTTTATAATTCATTTGTGATTGTGTGGTAAGTTGCTGTTGGGGGTGTTGATGAGGAGGTGCGCTCCAGCCAGTCACTAATCTGACTCAAATCCATGCACAATAATTACGCATAGGCGCACAAAATAACATGAAGCCAGGTGCACGTGCCCTGATCATTTATACTACAGGCATTATTGGCAGCAGGTAAAGACGGTGAGAACACTATGGTCATGAGGTGGCTCGTGTTAGGAAGCGGAAATAGTACAGCCCCCCCCTTAGGAGTGTGTGATATCATATTAGATGGTTCTTTGGGACAAGAATGTGAAAGTATATTTCAATTTGTGATTGAAATTAAAGTGTTATTTTTCCCTTCTTTGTGGGGGTGCAGTCTGTAATTCACAAACTGACAGCGATGCTTCCTCATCTTCCTGACATGAAGCACAAGGTGACTAATTTGAGAGTTAAACATTTCTGTGAGTCCAGTTGCACTAAATAACTGTACAATACTTTTGGTTTAACTCGTGTTGAAGGAATCTCATCATTTTGTTTTGTAATGACCATCATTGAACTTGTTCTTCAGTACAGTTCTCATAGTTTCACAACTGCATCCAGTCATGACTCCAAAAGTCTTCAGTCTTTACAGAAGTGTGATTTACTTGGTACATACCGTCATGTGCACCTGCACACATAATGAATGTCAGGATTTTACAGATTTCTGAACAGTAGTTTTATAACATGACCTGTTTTTGCTGCAGTGAAGAACTACAGTGTTTAGTTAAATTAACAGTACCTAAGATGTATTAGATGTACTTTTGTATTCATGATTTCCCGCTTTTTGTCTGGACATGCAGTAAAAAAAAAAAAAAAAAAAGTCTGACAAACAGTGCGTTCAGGTGCAACCATGCATAAAAATTTACCACGTGATCACAAGTGAGTTATAAACAGCTGTAAGTAGTTGTGTTGTTTTATCAGTTTCACTGATCTCTATATGTTGTTTCGCTATTCATCTCCCAAAGCCAATAAAAGTGGAATCAAATTTAACAAAATAAGGCTTTTAAGCAGCTTTCATTTGCTTGCTAAGGTTAAATCTTTTCTTAATCAAAGTAACCTTGAAAAGGCTATTCATGATTTTTTTAGCTCCCACCTTGATTACTGTAATGTGTTGTGCATAGGACTCTGTCAGTCCTCGCTTTTTCTTCTTCAGTTGGTACAAAATGCATCTGCTCACTTTCTAACATGTACATGTAAGCGCAAGTATATCACACCAGTTTTATAGTCCCTTCACTGGCTTCCTGTCCATTTTAGGATTGACTTTAAACTCCTGATGTCTGTCTCTGAGGCACTGAATGGTCTTGCTCCTCTCTATCTTACTTCGTTTCTGAGTACCCATATGTGTCCTAGAGCACTTAGATCAGCTGATCACAAATGGGGGACCTGGCCTTTGCTGTTGCTGCTTGTAGTTTGTGGAACAGCTTACACCCAAGTTGCACTTAATATCAGATGTGGTTTCCTTTATATCTAAATTAAAAACATTTGCATTGGCTTTTAGCTCCCAGTAGGGTATTGACACCCTGGTTAGTGCCCTTGTGGCTTCTGCTGTGAATTGATTATATTGTATTATTAGTTTGTATTTAGCCATTTAATTTTTTAATTGATTTGTTTTTATTTTTATTAACTGTAAAGCACTGTGGTCAATCTGTTGATTGCTGTAAAGTGCTATACAAATAAATGTTGACTGACAAACCAGTCACAAGATTTCTATAATGAATAGATTAGTTCAGCTACTTGGAAGATCTGATGTTGTGCACCTCGTCCTCTGCAGATAGGTCTTTTACAGTCCTCTGTTTATTGAAGACCAAACAATATCTGTTATTGATTCCAGGCCTGTGACTGTCATTTTCCAGCAATGACTCATACAGTACTGTATGTAGCTGCTCATTCATTCTCCTTATAAAGACAACAAAAACTAAAAGATTTCTCAGTCGACATGGTTGCTTACAAGGGGACACAGCAGCAAGCGTTTCGTTTCTAGAGCTCTTTACTTTTGGACTGCATTAACGCTGGGTAAAATTAGATTCCAAAATACACCATTTGCAGTTTATTAATTAACAAAGGATAATCAGCAGCTTGTGTTTATTTTCACTTTCTATTACCGGAAGGATTTTCTGAGCTGAGCTCATCACCACAGGACCTCGTTAACTCTAACTTCAGTAAATAGTGTTTGTTTGCAGCAATTTCTGGGTGCACAGGGACAAGTCTGAATGAAAACTAACTTAAGCAATCTGCTGTTTTAATAAATCTGGGTATTTTTCAGTAAAACTTGAAAATCTGTGACTTCCCTTGCATGGCTGCGTGGGCTGTAACATGGCTGCTGTGGATTCTTGGTGGAGTTAGGAGATGTGTAGTGGAACGTGATCTGAATGTCAACTGACTGTGCTGCCAGGATTTTTCATGAGGGAGGACTCTGTAGTCAGCGTGAACATGAGCTCAGACATGTTTCTGTCTCCATATGTTTTAATAATGGCCTCCGTTTCCTTCTCTGACAATTCTCTCCAGACAGGCTGAAGGAAGCGTTCCCTTCTTCCTCCTCCTCATGTTCCCTCTCCATTTGTCTCTCTTTTCTTTGGATGCAATTACCTAATACTGGTGAAGGCCCATTTCTGATTTACGACGGCCCTGTGTATACACAGACACGTTCCACACAAGCACAACAGAAAACATGATGAAGACCTCTGACAGCAAGAAGAGCTCATTTGGTTGTATATGGTTGAATATTAAAAAGAAGTTAAAAACAAACAAAAGCCACAGTGCGTAAAGCTGCTTGACAAAAATAGGAAATAAACAGTACATACATATGATGCCCAGAATGAGCATCTAGTTTATTTGTCTGGAGCTGCGCAATAAGTAATATTATAATGTGCATACTTCATGCCGAACGTCCACACAGACAGGTTAATCCAACCATGGGTCAGACAAATGAGATGTGTCAAGATAAGGTGAAAGAAGATGACATGAGATAAGGTGAAGTGAAATTAAATAAGATGATGTGAGATAAAATGAGATGAGACGATTGAAGGTGAAATGAGACTGGTTTTAGCCAGATATGCAAGGATAAATAGAAAACCTTTTATAATAAAAATAAAAACCGTATTAGCACAGAACTCTTATAAACCAGTGTACATTTAATAGAATGTAATTTCACTTGAAAGCTGCTGTTTAACTG